TAATAAATATACTTATTGTAATAACTTACTGAAAATTCTCTAATGGGGTAAAACATGTATGAAATTAAAGCTGAGGGCCGAATATGTTATACACATGGTACAAATATAGGCCATTTCCGAGTTGCCTTTAGCCTCTGTTTCAAAACGAGTCCTGGTGCACAACCTTTGTTATGGCCAATTATGAGTTTGAATTTTGCATGACAACAAACGTGCAGGTAAAACTAATTTCCATAACAAACCAGGACTCATTTTGAAACAGAGGCAAAAGGCAACTCGTAAATGGCCGGATTGATTTACGTGTCATGTGATCGACCACAATGAGTAATAGCAATTGGGACTAAGTTTGGCGCGCGGAGGTTTTAACTGGACGCCAAGGCGCATGTGTAAAGCTGCCACTTCTCTGTCACTAAAATCTTGGGAATCAAGTTGTTTCACAAGTCATGTTATTTGCGTAATAATTAATGACGATTGCAGGTAAGGTTGACTCACGGAGGTTTTAACGAAGCGCTGCTGTGCATGTGCAAAGATGGCACATTTTCCATACAATCCCTTAAAAAAAGTGAAAAAAATTCATCAATACAAAAATTTACGCTGACTCCTAAATGCAGGGAGTCTTTGTTAGTGGGGAGTAGTTTGGAAAGCAGGGAGTCGTTTGAAAAATTAGGCTAACTGGTGAGCAGACTAGTGTCAGCAGTTAGACTCCAGATCTGAATAATTTGCCATTGACATTTGCATTGGCATACCAAAAAATGCGCACCTAGCATGAGAACAAGAAGAAGAGCCCTCGCATTTAGAAGAACCACTAGTGGGCCCAACGTTGGACTACATTGGCTACTCCTGTTCCTAGACGTGTAAGACAGCATTTTCATACAAAATACTGGAAATAAAACAAACCAACGAAAACAACAATCAAATTTCAAAGTCGCCACCCCCTGAACTGCACTGTCCAATGAAGTGAACTGGACAGAATTGAACAGAACTTCCAATTCCAATTTGGACAAAGGAAAAGAGCTCTCGCCTAAAGCAGCAAAGACCTAGTTTGTTTCTCTGTGAGCAGCCAAGCAGGCCTAATTCTGCTGATGAGGACCCCACGAATAATTAATCGGCATCCAGGAGATCTCGTAGCTAGTTCTGTCAGATGACAATAAAGAAGGTGAAGAACAGCCCTCGCCTAAAGGAGCAGGGACCGAGCTACCTTCCCTGTGAGCAGCCTAGCGGGCAAGCCACTAGACTGCATTGGCTACTCCTATCCGCCAGATCCTGTCTGTCCATATGGTCCTGGGTCCCTGGTCTCTGTCCTCTGGTCCCTTTTCCCGGTCTCCTGGTCCCGGTCCCTATTCCCAGTTCCCTTTTCCCGGTTCCCTGGTCCCGGTCCCTATTCCCAGTTCCCTTTTCCCGGTTCCCTGGTCCCGGTCCCTATTCCCAGTTCCCTTTTCCCGGTTCCCTGGTCCCGGTCCCTATTCCCAGTTCCCTTTTCCCGGTTCCCTGGTCCCGGTCCCTATTCCCAGTTCCCTTTTCCCGATTCCCTGGTCCCGGTCCCTATTCCCAGTCCCCTTTTCCCGGTTCCCTGGTCCCGGTCCCTATTCCCAGTTCCCTTTTCCCGGTTCCCTGGTCCCGGTCCCTGGTGAGGGTCCTGGGTCCTGGGTCACAGGTCCTGGGTCCTGAGTCCTGAGTCCTGGGCCCTGGGTCACAGGTTCTGGGTCCTGAGTCCTGAGTCCTGAGTCCTGGGTCCTGGGTTACGGGTCCTGGGTCCTGAGTCCTGAGTCCTGGGCCCTGGGTCACGGGTTCTGGGTCCTGAGTCCTGGTCTTCTTCTTCTCCTTCTTCTCTGTACCTGTTTTAAAAGCAATGGTAGCAACACCTTAAACAAGAAGTTCCGGTATAAAAGGGGCCTGACCTCGCCCTACTCATGCCTAGTTGTCAATAAACCATCAAAGCGTAAACAGCTGACAAAGAACCTGCGCTTTTTCTATAATGCGCGGAAAAAGCTGATGCCTCACAGCAGAGGACAGTTCTAACGGCAATAATCACTCAAACATGTCACTATACAATTAACACTTACACTGGATACATTGAGTGATCGGACAGATATATAAAATATGTGTGCCGTAACGTCATACCTCAGGGGGGGACGAAACCTAACCCCATCAACAGCAGAGGACAGTTCTAACGGCAGTAATCACTCAAACATGTCACTACAATTAACACTTACACTGGATACATTGAGTGATCGGACAGATATATAAAATATGTGTGCCGTAACGTCATACCTCAGGGGGGGACGAAACCTAACCCCATCAACAGCAGAGGACAGTTTTAACGGCAATAATCACTCAAATATGTCACATACAATAAACTTACACTGGATACAATGAGTGATCGGACAGATATCATTCTCGACCCCAGACCTTCGCTGCTTTCTTGCGCAAAAGAGAAGGGCTCTGGGGTCGAGATTGGGACAGATATATAAAATATGTGTGCCGTAATGTCATACCTCAGGGGGGTAGGTCTGGATGAACTGGTCCCTGGGTCCTGGTCCCTATTCCCAGTTCCCGGTTCCTTGGTCCCGGTCCCTATTCACAGTTCCCCTTTCCCGGTTCCCTGGTCCCGGTCCCTGGTGAGGGTCCTGGGCCCTGGATTCTGGGTCCTGGGTCCTGTGTCCTGAGTCCTGGGCCCTGAGTTCTGGGTCTTGGGTCCTGGGTCGTGCATTGGGTCTTGGTTCTGGTCTTCTTCTTCTTCTTCTCTTTGCCTGTTTTAAAAGCAATGATAGCATTAGCTTAAACAATAAGTTCCGGTATAAAAGGGGTCACTGACATGCCCAGTTGTCAATAAACCATCAAAGCGTAAACAGCTGACAAAGAACCTGCACTTTTTCTGGATACATAATTGAGTGATCGGACAGATATATAAGATATGTGTGCCGTAACGTCTACCTCAGGGGGGACGAAACCTAAACCCCTTCAATGATTAAAAGACAGACACAATGATCACACAAACATGTTACTGCTAGAGGAGAGATGCTCTCCCCTAGACACTGCACAACAAAGTTACAACATAAAACCACGTTTCGTCAAGGTGCGGGTACGTCATATCAAAATCAGTAGCATCAAATTAAATTTGGACAGCACAAACATTGCGTATCTTATCAAATGCTTTCAGATTTATTGCAAATGCTCACAAAGACCATTCCGGCGATATGCCTAAATTTTCTCGTACTACTTACAAGTCTTGCTGCGAAATTTTGCACACTCTGAAGCTTGCGAATCTTTTTCTTACAATTTGAGGCCGTGGCAAATGAGGAAACATTGTTGCGGACGCAAATGTTTCCCCGTTTGCCCGCGCACGCAACATTTGTTGCGGAGACGCAAAAAATGTGTCTGAATTCTTTCAGAAACATTTTGCGTCCGCAACAAATGTTTCCCCGTTTGCTCTCCGAAACATTTGCGTCCGCAACAAATGTTTCCCCGTTTGCTCTCCGAAACATTTGCGTCCGCAACAATGTTTCCTCGTTTGCCACGGCCATTAGCCGACGGCGTGTTAAGGCCGTGGCAAACGAGGAAAAATTGTTGCGGAAACATTGTTGCGGACGCAAATGTTTCCCCGTTTGCCCGCGCACGCAACATTTGTTGCGGACGCAAATTCGTCCGAGACGCAAACAATGTTTTGCGTCCGCAACAAATGTTTCCCCGTTTGCTCGCCAAAACATTTGCGTCCGCAACATTGTTTCCGCAACAATGTTTCCTCGTTTGCCACGGCCTTTAGACCAGACACACGAGCATTATAGAACAACTTGCTGAAACCTACTAATAAAGTTAGGCGTATCGAATGGTCTTTGTGAGTTCTTTGCGAGCGCAAAGTTAGGCGTATCGAATGGTCTTTGTGAGTTCTTTGCGAGCGCAAAGTTAACCTTGCGAACAACGAGCACTTTTGAAAGAAAACAACCTTCACTCAAAACCGAGCATGCGAGCATTTGTAAAAATATGCGAGTACGAGCACCCACTAAAATGTTGCGAGAAACTCGCTCGAGCAAAAGCCTAATTTTGCGAACACTTGAAACATTCGAGACCATTCGTCACCGCTCGAATTTTTGCAGCTATGCCAAGCATTTTAAATTAAACATTCATTCGTAACTTATTTTTAACAATTGTTGATTGTCTTTAACGATGAAATACCAACCTTCTCCGCCATTCTTCTTCTTCTTCTTCAAAATTTTGCGCGGGAAATTGGCGCGCGGGCGACCATTCACTGGCGAAAAATGTCTGATTGGTCGACGCGCGACCACGTGACTTTGCATATGGAGACGCCGCGTTGCAATGGCGGGAAAGTTCAATATTAGTGCGAAACTTTTTCGTAACAATTTTGCGATTGCTATCTAATTTTTTTGTTACATTTTTATTTCGTTTTTCGTCTGCGGTATCCACCAGCCAGCATATAAAAAAAGAGAGAAAAAAGCAAAGAAAAAAGGAGAGATGCACAAGGAGTTTTTGTTTTTGCTGGCTGGAATGGATCTGTTAAACGGTGCCACAACGTAACATTTTGTGGCGAATACTTTCCACTTGAAATCGACGAAATACGAACCCCCGATCTCTCAAAAAGGAAGGAAAACCAAGAGGCTATCGACGCTGAAACGGCAGACATTTTTTCTCGCATCCAGAGGGCATTTTTACCTGAGAGCCAATTAAAACTGCGGAATCGTATCACGTGATATTTTGCACAGCGCCTGCGCAGACAATTTTCCTTTTCCCGATTTTTTGAGGGGAGGAGGCGGATGTACACCATTCTCGTTCCCAGATCCTCCGGTTTTTTGGTCACGTGGTTGGCGAAACGTTTCCGGCGGAAAGAAAAAAAACGAGGGGCCCTGGGGACGAGGATGGATGTACACAGGCTAGTGATTCTCACTTGTAAAAAAAATTGAAACTACAATTATTGCAGTTTCAATTTTTTATCATTGAGAAAGATGATATTATTCAGTCGACTGTGACACAAGCTACTCGGAAAAATTAATTCCCAACAGGAGTTGAACCTACATGTATGACCATCCTGACACTGGTCGGACGCTCTACCACTGAGCTACAGGAGACCCTTGGGAGCTTAGACCATATAACTAGGTTCAAATCTGACAAACATCCCCCATAATCACTGGAAAATTCGAACAATTTACAAACTTCACTAAAGTTAGTTATAAAATCTTTGTAAATTTTCTGTATATAAAACGTGCACACTTACAGCGATTTTGTAAACTCCACAAGAGAAGTCTGTAAATTTCAAAACATTTATGCCTTCTGATCGCATAAAATGTCTACGAAATCTTGCTGTTTTCATTGTAAATTTTGTGTTGGATTTACAGAGATTTCATAACATCTAAAATAAATCTCTATAACTCTGTAAGACTGAAAACACAAAATCTCAATAAAATCCCTGTAAAAAAAACCCCGAACTAAAACCATTACATAAAATGGTATTAAAATATACAGAAATGAACTACACATAATGTCACAGAAAAGTACACATTGTCTGTAAAATGTATACAATTTATTGCAATAAATGTTCACATATTCTCTGTAAAAACAGCGTGTAGAACATTCAAGAACGAATAATTTAAAACCAAAATATAAAAACTCAATAAAATCTCTGTAAAACGTGAACAAAAAGATACGATATACCCCTTTTGGCCACTCTATTAAGCTCCCCCCCCCCCTTCTCACCCATTAGAGGTCAGAGTTCAATGCTAAATATAGCATCTAAATTGATTTCCGTCAGGCTGATGTAAATTACGTTTCAGTGATATTTTCTGGCTTTTCAGTCACTTTGTATTGAAACGTGGTCTTTAATTTCCAGAAGTATCTTTTAGTTAGGGTATAAAATACATAACCCATTTCTTGTTCTGTTTTAGTTGTGTATTAATATTAAAGTTTGAAAAATTGATGTGAATTTTCTCGAAAATAAGCCGCCGCTACCCCCCCCCCCCCCCTCTTTATTAAGTTCCCCTCTAGCTCTCCAATAAGCCCAACAGGTACTTTCTTGGGGCCTGAAATTAAATAAGCCCCCCGGGGGTCTTAATAGAGCTTTTACAGTATGCCCATATATACACTTTTGGACTAAAAGAGTGAAAATTGTACATGGGTAGTTATTACAAAGTGGGTCAGGTATTATAAACTGCGACAAGTGTTATTACAAAGTGCGATATGTATTACAAAGTGTGACAGAACACGCACCAAAACAATTGCCGTTCCAGGGTTTCTCAGGTAGACCGGAATCTGAAATTAATATTAACGAAAACTCTGAAAACTTAGTTTTTGAGCGAAATCGGAAAACGAAAATCATTCCATTCGATTTTCGTTTCTTTAAAATTTCGTCGGAAAACGGTTGGCACTCGGGTACACGCATTATGTGCTACGTACAAGTAGTTCTCATTGGTTCGTTCTGTTCTTTACGTTTGTTGTGATTGGCCATCGTAATTGCGTTGGTTTTGGTTTTACGGCAGCCTAGTGCCCAGGCATTCCCTTCCAGCTTGCTCGATTAGGCGCAAAATTTCATGACGTCAACGAATGATGCACCGGCACGCAAACCAGTTCCCAGGTCCTTACATGTACTTCGCGCTCGCTCGAAAGAGAAAGAGAACGCCTAGGGACTAGGTTTTTGAAAACGTTGAAAACCGCTCTATCTCTGTTCTTGAATTCTTGTTTGATTGACACGGAGGTCTCGTAATGGCGTCTTGTTGCGGCATTGTTTCTCGTTACATGCTACGTATTCGCCTTCTTGCTCGTTTTCTTTTTCTTTTTCGTTCGTTTCTGCTCCACGTCCTCTTCACAAGAATACTGTTCATCGTTTAGTTTGTGCTCGTTATTTCTCTGAATGCCTTTGTGTTTTCTCTTTCTCTTTTTCGCGTCTTTCTCTTTTTTCTTCGACTTCACTTTCTTCTTGTTTTCCTTTTCTTTTATTTGTTGATCTTCCTCAACCGCATATGTTTTAGCATCTGAATCAGAATTAGCTTCATTTCTGCATCTGAAACACAGTGACAAAGATCCAATTGATCTGGTTGTTCACACATAATTGACAGGATAAAAAGATACATTGTTGTCTTAAAGTCCGTGCCAAATGAGGACGAGAGTATCATCAGCCCCGTTCAAACAAGAGAAAACTCTGGACGACTCTCGAGAAAAATTTGAGCAGGTTCAAATTCGATGAGAGCGCACAATAGTTGTCGAGAGCGCATGAGAGTTTTAGGCCAAATGAGAGCAAGAGTAAGGCCACAGGTACCCCAAGCTCAGGTTGTGAGTAGGTCAGCTATATGATATGATGTATTGCATCAGCAGTAATGGGTTTGTATAAGGATTTTACTAACATATTCTTAGATATAGGAATATGGTAAATTTCTCAATAAAATTGTCTTACCTTGCTTCCAAGGTGTTTTACTTGCTGCCTGTGTGGATATTTTGCTGATCTAAGGCCGTTTTAGCGATTTTTTTCTTAGAATCTGTTTGTGAAATCCCCATACAAACCCTTATATTTTTCGCCATTACTGCTGACGCAATACACAACACTGTCAACATCTCAGGTCCAAAACGCTCAATCAAAATCACCGATCGTTTTGACTGCACCTCCACTAATGTAATCTACTGCATATTGCATAACTTGCACTCTGTGAAAAATGCTTTACATTGGAGAGATGGGAAGAAGACTAGGAGATCGCTTCCGCGAACATTTGAGAGACATTAAAAACAAGGATAGAGATGCCTCTAAACCGGTCTCTAAACATTTTAATCTTCCCGGTCATTCTTTTCAAAACATGATTGTTTGCGGGCTTTCCCTTCATCAGGGCAACACTGAAAGCCGCAAAACTCCAGAACAAAAATTTATCTTTCAAATCGGCACCTTGGCTCCTCAGGGGATCAATGAACACTCACGGAACTCCACATACTCTAGTATACAAACACGGACACAACCCACAATCCTCCACTTTGCTCCGACGAAGGGCTAACGCTCGAAACGTCAGCTTCTAGAAATTCGCTATGGTGGTTAATTTACCTTTATCAACTTCAAGTTGATTATCCACATAGCGTCATATCATATAGCTGACCTGCTCACAACCTGAGCTTGGGGTGCCTGTGTTTGGGCCGGACTTTAGTCTACAAAGCACACAGGCGTGCAATGTATCAAATTAGCTCTACGACCTATTGCAAGTTATCAGTCTACCAAAATTTAAGTTGGCGTAAGTTTTCACTATTTTATGTAAATTCAAACATAACTTTCTTTCTTTTTTTCAATACCTGTCCACTTCCACCGCTAGCTTTTCTTGCTCCTCAACTCGCTGAAGTTTGCCATTCAACTGCAACCCGTGACGAGCAGCCCTAACATAACAAACAAAAGATCAGCTAAAGAAGAAGTGTCGCCATGACATGCTCTCTATCAGCGCGTTTTTTTTCTCACCCCAATTATGTAATCACTGTGGAAGACACACCCACTGGGATTTTTAACAAGTTTATGTTCATTACATGTATTACGAAGGTAGATCATCGCAGTGAAAGAGAAACCTGAAAAAAAATCATCTTGAATGGCGGGATTCGATGCCGGTGCAATGCTCTTATCGACTGAGCTATCAAGCCCGCTGGGATCTGGTCATTTTGTGACTTCGTATTATACCGGTGGATCTGACTTGTCCCCAGTCATGTCATATAAGAAACGTGTTAGACGCGGAGGCTGATGGGAATAACAAGTTTCTCATAAGAGACGACTGGGGACGAGTCAGCCGGTAGATGAAGAATAAATGAATGAGAATATATGAATAAGTTAATTATGTTCAATTTCCAATATTTGTTTGTTCATTTACAGTGTGTTTGTCTTACTTGTGAGCTGTTCTGCCTCCACATGCTTGAAAAAGTTTGTCCTCTGCACATCTAAAAATTACACACAAAATTAGAAATTAAAAACATGAAAGCAATCATACAGTTGTGAAGCAACATTTACTGTCAAATTCACTGTTTAAATCAAAACTCATCTGAGCGGTTTCCAAAAGATTTCCATCAGTCATACATGTCATACCTTACATGGAAGGTATTTCATTCGTGGGAAAATCATAAACTTCCATATAAGGGTATAGTCTTCACGAGCCTAGTGGCCCACAACTGCCGGAGTTGATCCCGGTTTCTGTAGCGTGAAGCGCTCGACTAGGAGTATTGCTACTCCCCTGGATGGGATGCTAGTCCATTGCAGGTTACCCACCCCCAGCATTTTGTCGCCGGTACCCATTTATACTCCTGGGTGGAGAGAGGCACTGTGAGAGTAAAGTATCTTGCCCAAGAACACAACACAGTCATCCCGGTCATGACTCGAACCCGGACCACTCGGTCCAGAGTCCAGCGCGCTAACCATTAGGCCACTGCATCTCCCACACTTCCATATAAGGTATGACATGTATGATTGACGGAAATCCTTTGCAAACCGCTCGGAAAAGTTTTGATTTAAATGGTCACGTAACAGTGAATTCGACGGTAAAGTAGTTGCAAAGAAAACCAAGAAAATGAATGTAAATCTACTTACAAGTGTGAAAAATCTTTTTCTGAATCTGAGTCTTCGTCAGAATCAGGTGATACACTTTCTAGTGTTTTGCTCGAGGCCTGAAAAGAATGAAAACAGAATTGATAATGTAACCAGGATAAGACACTAGCTCTGATTGGATGGAAATCATGTTTATAACAGAAAATACACGAATAGAGTCATATTTTTAACTTTTTCTCAGTGTTTGGAAATCAGATAAAACACTCTCTTGAGTTTAATAGATTTACTTATACTCATGACCCCGGGAGGGGGAGGGGGGGTACTTCCTGGTAAGAGGCTAATGGGGATGTGCCGCTGGATGGGGTCACATTTTCATGACTGGATTGACCACATATAATGGGGTCACAATTTTAACTGAGTTACTAGAATGGGATCACATTTTTAACACGACTGCCTCATTAGAAATTGAAAACAAAGTGACTAAGTTGGGATTGCGTTTGCAAAAAAAGTGACTAAGATGGGGTCTATAATAATTATAGACCCTGTGGCCAATTATTGGCCACATAATAGACTATAATGGGGT